TGTGAAAATACTATTCCTAAAAAATTTCACGATAGAAAAAAAACAAACTTACCTCGAAATGTTAACAAGAAAACCGCTGTATTCAATAAGGTGTTTCTCTATGGTAGTGAGATAAGTCGTATCTCTCAATTTAAGTACCCGGGTCACTGGGTAACCGATAACTTGAATGATAGTGCCGACATGGAGAGGGAGAGAAGGGCCCTGTCTGTTAGATGTAATATGCTCACACGCAGGTTTGCCCGTTGCACCAAAGATGTAAAGATTTCATTATTTAAAGCATATTGCCAAAACTTTTACACAAGCAGCCTGTGGGTAAAGTTTACGCAGAGAACCCTGAATACATTAAGGGTGCAATATAACAACGCTTTTAGGATTCTAATGGGGCTGCCGCGACACTGTAGTGCATAGTGTACACGGAGGCGCACACAGATGGCTTTCATGCCATTATGCGCAAGAAGGCTGCCTCACTGTGCGTGTGCGCGGCAGCGCTGATAGCATCATAGCCGTTGTTGCCAACAGGCTGGACTGCCCCTACCAACTACATTGGGTGCAACTACACGTGCGTAGGGTAGTGGTCTAGAGTCACTTTTCACTAAAATTAAGTAATTTTATATTGTACTAACCATAGCACGTAAGAAAAATTTACTGTATTACTAACATTATTATGGATCATGGACCGAAATAAATAATTCTATTCTATTCTATTCTATTCTATTCTATTCTAATAGATACTTTACATAAACCAATGATTTTTTTATCAACTGAACTAAATAGGTCACGTATAAGTATACGATATACCTACATTTTTCAAATAGCTTTAATTTCCTTTGTAAAAAAATAAATTCTGCATTATAGCCAGTGTTTCTGCCGCTCGACCTGCGCAATAGAACCGATTCAGAACGGGAAAAACTTGAATTCGAACTGACGTGGCGTCGACTCTTAAATATGTTTTTAATTGTGTGGAAAGACTAATTAGGTTAAATATATACAGTCAGTCAGACTTTCTGTCAAAATAATCATCGTCACAGTAGTGCACGAAACCTGCGCGGTCAGTTGCAGTAAGAATAAGATCGAAATCGTTCTCTGGGAGGTCAACAATAAATACAAAACACAAATATTTTGCATGAACATTTTTTTACATAAAAGTGCATTTTTTTTATTCCATAACTCCCCATGCCAACGCCAGTAAAGCGACTCATACCATTGTAACTTTACTACTTTTTACTTTGTAAATACTTATTTGCATATAGTTTATAAATCTAGCCATGTGTCATTTCTGTACGCCGTGGGTATGTGTGTGGTTGGTTCGTGAGTGTTTTTTATATTTTGGTGAGCCATGATCTTTATACCTTATTTTAGTAGCATAAAAAATAAATATTGATAAAATTAACTGCGGGCTAAGTGTGAGGCCAGACGAGCGTAATTATGTGAGTCGCGTAGCCTGCGCTGCATTCGGTCTCATATAAAATGTAGTTAGTTTTACGACGACGCAAAATGAGTTATCTGCCTACTCACGAGAGTAATGACGACTGACTTTCGGTCGCATCGTGCGATGGGCTGGCGCGAGTGGGGGTAGGAGTGAGGGAAGGGGGTCACTTTAGTATAAACGCTTAAAAGTAACTGAATAAAATGCGTTCGTCTGGCGCTCCAACCGAATTTCGGTCGGGCACAAATTGCGCAATTCAAAAAACGCAACTCACAACTCACAAAATTACGCTCGTTTGGCCTCACCCTTAATGTCATAAAGCATTCTGTGCCAGTCAACCATTGTCGTAGGCTCTTCATCCCGGTTAGTAAGTATTAGCTCCAGTGATCATTTTCATATGTAAGTTCATTTTATAATGCCACATTTTTAAACTTCAAAGGAGACCTGTGACCACCAGTGGGATGTATAGCCGTCGTAGGATCTCTTAATCTGCGGCTACTATTATATTAACTTTCCGCAATCACTTCAAGCGTTCGCAATTTAATTCATTTATTCATTCGTTATTACAGGTACATGATATAGATGGTAATAATAATTCGCAATACGTTGAATTTAAAGTTTAAAAAAAATAAAACAATTTTTTTTAAAGACTGTGTGTATTCACTTACATGGAAAAGATACTTAAATTAGGTGCATAAATAGGTTCATTATTTACATTACACAGAGAAAACACTAAGTACATAATGACATTGAAAACAGCCAGCTGTTCAACATCGATTGAAAAGTCGTGTGATTAGAATTATGTCAATTCTGTCTAGAATTCGAACTTTAAAACTAATTTTAGCAGACCTAAAAAAATATGACATTTTCATTCAGAACGTGACAGCTATTATATAGAAATATTTTACTATAATTCCTTTTAATATGTGAAAATATAATTGAAATTAAATACACTACAGAAAGGATTAACAATTTTCGCTTTTCCCATATCGTACCAATAATATGATCAGTTGTAAATTTCGTTCAGGTAGTAAGTATTGCTTAAAATTTACGTTTAGGAGATTGTTTCCAATTTGAAAATACAATTGTACAATATTTTATTAAAGACGAGAATAGTTTTAAAGCATTAGTGGCTACATGAGCAAGATAAGTACAATTTTGAAAAAATATTCCTAGAAATATAGAAAAACTATATACACCGGTTAATTTGTAACAAGTATGTGCCTGGCCAAAACTTATATAGAAATTATCATGTCATAACTTCTTTATTGACTATTGGAAACGTGTAAACAATATTGATAAGTAACAGTTCTAATTTATTAGTACCTGAGCCTAATAAATTACTTATTTACAAAACTTTACATCCGAATTGCGAGTAGAATAATTAATTAATATAACCTTACAATGCGTATTTATTAAAAAATTGCGTTTAAGTTTAGTTCATTTTAGGGGATTATACTTTTACTGTTGATATCTGTTTTTTATTACATCACTAATACAGTCGAACGGGTGTTTATTAATGATTAAACACAATATCTCTATTTTATTAATTTGCCGCTCGCATCACTATTACAGTCGCAGAAAATATAAAATTAAGCTACAAATTTAATGTGTCATTAACTGTCTTAAACTTTATCAAATACTAACGACAGCATGTTACTTAATGGATCTTCAAGTTAATGGACGATTAAACATTAACGGTGTTTTAAGAGCCTATAGTGAAAAACCTTGAAGTATAGTCCCCTTTCAATTATTAATAGTTTTGGATCTGTCACGCGAGAATAAAAAATAAACAAATTGTAAGTATATAATAACAACGATTTTAGATTTGATAAATTATATTTAAACAAAGTGCAGAACAGAATCATCGCCCTTTTTTATTTTAGTTTAGTAAACCTTATATCGATGTAATTTTCATAGTCTTAGTAAAGTTTTACATAATATTTAGTTAGGAATTTGGTGTTTTTTACATTATACCTTACAGTGAATCGATTATTTACAAAACATTCGATGAATTATTTGTTATAATTTTAGTATATTTTATCCCTTCAGAAAGAACAATGTATGTGCCAAACTTTTTTAACGACTAATTATTATTTAATTATATGAATTTTTATCTGATAAACTTTTGCAACACCTTAAGTTAGCACAGACTCTTATAATAAGGCTTCGCTTTGTATAATCAAGGCTAAAATCTAATGTCATTAATAAAAATTGCATATACGAGGTAGTTACTTGCACTTGCGAGGTTCTTCCTGAAAGGTATCGATATAATAATTTTTAATATAAACACTAAGGTTGGTGTTCTCTTATAACTTTACCTTACAGATTTTTTTTTTTCAAAACATTTTTTTTTATATAAAAAAGCAAAGAATTCGATGAATTTTTCATTGCATTCTGTTTGCTAAGGTCATTATTTTATTATATTACATAAAGTGCATATTTTATGAGGAACCATTAATTATATATGAGTTGTATTCTGGAGTCCATTTATTATTAACCTAAACTTATTCTGACTTATCTAAAAATACCCCTGTCCCTCTTACACCAATAGAGAGTAAACGAGAAATAAATATTTTTAAACCAGTTCAGAGAGTTACAGAATTTGAAATTCTGTTTAGTTTCGGTTATAGTTTTAAATTAGTTAAGTTATAATAAAACGGTCAGCAGAATCGTCACCCAGAAAACTGATCTAAGGGCGCTTTAAATTAGACGCTTAAAGCAGCGCTGCAGCAGAACTGTATTGCTTCACTAATTGTTACTGCAAAAAAGTAGCGCGCGCATGTCACGACAGTAGCGCTGATATTGTATAAAACGCGCTCCTCTAAGGCTTCTATAAGCGTCTAATTTGAAGGTGTCCTAACATTCAAATCTTTGTAATCACTTTATTATTTACAAGAACCTATACTATAAACCTATATTAGGTCCGATTCAGACCGAAAACAGAACCTCTTTTACCCGAAGGGATACTTGGTGTCCATGTGATTGCAGACTTATGCAAGATAAGCCTACGCGATACGCCTGTTTACCAATCGGGAGATGTAATTTGCATATTGACGTAGGTTTCTCCCTTAGACCCATTTCTTTCTTTCAGAAAATACATTCCTTTGTGATCCGCCGCGCTCAGGTAAAAAGCGGTTCTTTCTTTCTTTCTTAAATCTAAATAGTGGATTGTGCAAAGCGCTTAACATTGAGGTAATAAACTTACGATGCGTAACTGTTGACTACTAAATGACTAAGTGAAATAGATAAATAAGATCTGGATGTTAATAAAATGTACCTAACAGATATTTGTTATGAAACGCGTTTGGCATTTTCACACCGAATTATTGGCAGTATTAAATAACAAAGAATTTTTAAATGTGATCTCACACTAAAGGTGGTTGCATAAAGACGGTTTGGTGCGAGTAGTTACGTGATAGGCTCACTAGACCGCGTTGTTTTGAATCTGTCGAAAGTCTCCATTCAAGGACCGTCGTTTTGACGTCGTTGACAGTTGTTTTCCATGCTTCATTTAGTGGTGATATTGTGCTCAACAAAAAGTTACGAAGTGGAATAAAATGTTCTATTCGGTTTATTTAATTCAGTAGCATATTAGTGCCAAGGTCGATTCGCGTCTCACCTTGCGAATCAATAAAGGACAATTACAAAACATTCCCATTCAATATCACAAAACGACTATAAATCACGACACGAAGCGCTTATTAGCGTACTATCTATCTACATCCGAAGACAGCCTTGACACTGTTTCGCCCATTTCCCCATAAATAGCATACCCATAGCGCAAGTAACAGCTTCTTTATGTAAAACAAGTGGGAATTTATTGACACTTCAGTTAGTATCATGAAAACGCCTCGTAAATTTTACAAGGCCATAAACTGAACCGTCTAGTCGTAATACCATTATTATATTACGACACCACTCCTTGAAATAATTTTCGTTGTCTGTTCCTTCGATTTCTCTTCTTCTATTATTTTTGTTGATTGGATTTTCTTCCACGTGTCTCCTAACGCTTTGCTAAAGTGGTCGTCGACGCCTCCTTTGACGGATTGTGTCTTTTCGCTCTCTTTTAACCTTGACGTCTGGATTTGTCTCCATGTGTCGCCTAGGGCTTTAGCGAAATGATCGTCTACAGATAGACTTGCGTCGTCGACTTCCATAGCGATGATTTTAGTAGGTTTCGGTGGCTCCTCCGCCTTGAATTGAATAGGACTGCTTGCGCGGTCCTTTGTATTTGGTTTGGGTCCAGGTTGCACAGATTGACCCTCCGCATTTTTTTTAAACAGATTCATGTAATCATCACCGAGAGATCGTCGGAAATGTTCGTCAATCACTGGGTCACACATGGACATGGAGCCTGTAATAAAAATTTAAATTGCTTAGATAACTTTCCTTGTTTATTATTGTAGATAACCCCAAAATAATAACGTTGGTATAATCCCAATGATTAGATAATATTTAATTTTAAATATTTCTCGTTTTGATTAATTAATTTTATGAAGTGCTAGAAGTGCATAAGTCCGTTCGGATGGAAAAACAACTTTAAATAAACTTACCGTTAGGAATATCATTGCTCTTAATAACAGAAGGCCTGTTGTAGGGTGGCGGAGCAGGCCGGGAGCGCAGACGCATGTCTATCGGCGCCTCGTGCTTGCCTGGATATTCCGGCGGCGCGCCTGTAAACAATACGAGAACATTATAGTATAGTCTTACAAAAAATAAACTTACAAGTACAATATGAAAGCGTTAGCTTTCATATTTAGTATTTGTAGTCTATGATAAAACTGAGAAAGTCTTTAAAAATGCCTTCCGCACACAATGAAACAAAAGACAATCTGTGTTTCTCACAGAACTGGGACGGAATGCAATAGAAGAAACATGCATGTACATTCACATAGGTGTAGGTGGATTGCTCGTTGCCATAAAAAGTGCATTAAACACATTGATCCATAATGGACTTCGCTAAAATGGCGGCATTGATTTCCTATCTCAGAATTCATCCATTCTATCAACTAGCACTTTGCGCAGATCGTTTATTGTCTTTAGTAGATCTGGAATAACATCATCTATAAGTAGAATATAAAAATTTCCTCAAGTAACAAATTAAGAACACTTTCAAAGAAAAATAAAGGGCTTCAAGTTACATAAAAGGTGACAAGAAAAGTTGAACTTCTCTCGTTCCCTTGGCGCCGGCGTGGGTCAAAAAATAAAATTATGATAAAGTTTGCGCCTTATTTGGAATAATAAGGAAGTTGCGATTGAAACATATTACGGACGTGAACCTCACAACGCGACCTCAAAAGTTCGTGGAATTACATCTATTTGCCAATTTTATTTTAATCGGTTACCGGAAAGTGCGCGAAACCGGATTCATCCCCTAGTTTGCCATTCTTAGTGGTGGAATATTTTCTTCAATTTAAATGGGACCGATACTGAGGTACCCTCTTTCCAAAAAAATGCCGGAGTAATGGCCTAAAACACACACACACACACACACGCACGCACGCACGCACGCACGCACGCACGCACGCACGCACGCACGCACGAACGAACGCACGCACGCACGCACGCACGCACGCACGTCCTGACTTTAGTACTCACTGCAATCAGTGAGTACTGAAAATCATACTCAGGGCCTTGCCATTAGGGTCGTATTTCCAGTGTTTGAAATCATACTCAAGTCTGCTCAAATCCTGACTTGAGTATTGCAGTGAGCACTGAAAATCATACTCAAGTCCTTGCCATTACGGTCGTATATTCAGTGCTTGAAATCATACTCAAGTCTGCTCAAATCTTCTGCTGTCTGCTGACTTGAGCATTGAGTAGAGTTCTGGAATCCGACCTTAGGGTCTTAGGGTGCTACACCATGAGACCTGTAAAGGGCCCGAAACGTCGGTTTGTTTGAAAAAACAAATATACGCGATTTAAACCCGAAAAAATAGTTTCATTTCCTAAATAATTATTAACTTATTGGGTTTAAAAAAATACATAAATTTTATTAAAGCACTATAAAATATGACAGAATGTATGTCATGTATTATTTTCGCACGAATTCCAATAAAATACAATTTTGAATTAGTCACAAACTAGTACAGGTCATTGGGATCATTTGAAATACTTATTATACATGTATTAACTCTATATTAAATAAATGTTAATTGTTCGTTAATCACAAACTCGTAAAATTTTGAATCGATGTCTCGTGAGAATCGTTCGAAAGTCAAATTTGCACTTGAAAACGTCGTATTTTAAGCTACTGCTCGTTAATACTCGCTGACTTCCCTGATAAGAACGAGCCAGAAACTCTAGGAATTGCTATTTTCAAACAAACTTAAATGTTATGGAACTCTGAATCTTTGTGTGTAATCTAGTCTCATGTCGTCTTTCCATACATCTTTATCTAACACGTAGTCTTCAATTTTGTAAAGAGACTTTTTAATTAAAGTACTTTTAATTAAGTTTAGGAAATGATATTTTTAATATATGCTACAGAATCTTGTTGTAAAAACGTATACAGTTCCCCATAAAAGAATCGTTTACCTTAGTTAAACGAAATCATGGTACCATGAGTTTGGACTTAGTTCTAAGGTTAATATTATGGATATAAATATTATCTTCTTTCTTAATGAAATTATGCATATGTATGAAATTACGTTAAATCTGGTGAGCGATATGCTTAGTTCACATCCTTATTTACGTTTCGATGGCAAGTGTCAACACAACAATCAGCGATAATTATAATTATGGTAATTTTCAAAGTTCATTCCGTTCCACATTGGCATAAAAATAGATGATGAACTTAACTCTCTGGTGATAACGTTTCCGTAAGAAACAAGAGAGCGCTCAGCAAATGAGTTTAACGTACTACATAATTGAATTCTAGACCGCGCGCGATGTTACGTGGGAAGTGTTGTACCCCTTTGTACAACTCTAATTGAGTTTTAAGACTTATAAAACGTTAAGGTTGCCTAGTTTGTATGGTTTCTTTTATTAAAACGTTCTTTATTGCCTTTTCGTGATGTGTTCTATTACCTGAATGCTTTATTCAAACTGGAACGAATACACACGAAGACTCAACAAGAAATCATTATCATTCAAATGTTATTTACAAAAGTACTACTTTTAGTTCTTGTAATAACCTGTCATTTAGGTAAATCGATTTTTAGCTTAATTGAGTTACTAACATATCTGGGAAATGAGATCTACAACCCCCTCTAATCGATTTTTTATATCCTATTTTGTGTCAGTTTTATTGTTAAGCAAAATAAGCGTAATTGACATTTTTACTAGCAAAACAATTTTAGGTGCCAATATTTCGAAAGTTACCGAAACGCAAATTCGTTAGTTAAAACGAGGAGGGTAGTATGGAACATACGTACTCCATCGCTTTACCTTAAGAACAGTTTTCGATGTTATACGAGCAGAAAACTGGACGCGACGTGACTTGGAAAAGTTCCAATAAGGTTCAGTCTTGCCGCCACTTGCTACGTAATCCCCAATATTCCAAAATTTATTTTCATGTAAACATAAATATTATTTTTCCAAGTTGAAAAACAAGGCTGGGTCAGATGTTTGGTAATCAATGAGCCGGTACCAACTGAATGAGCTCTGATGATATTTTATAGACAGATTGTTTATGTCCTGGATACACTAGTAGATACGGTGCTGCAGTTCAGCCGTCGTGTAAGCGCCTTTGCGCACTGCATCTGGGGGTCTATTCTCGATCTCCGTCCGACATCCGTCCGAAACAATTACTGTCAAATAAGTACTATTCGACAAAATTAAAAGACAAGTATCAAGTATAAAGCTTCATTCGCATCACGTGTCTTTTCATTTGGTCAAGTATTGCTTATTTGGCAGTAATTGTTTCGGACGGATGTCGAACGGAGACCCGCTGTTTTTCGCCTAATAAGAGCGTTTGCGCACTACGTCCAATTCGTATCAGGGGATCTACTCTCGATCTCCATCCGACATCCGTCCGAAACAATTACTGCCAAATAAGCAATACTTGACCAAATGAAAAGACGCGTGATGCGAACGAAGCTTCATACTTGACACTTGTCTTTTAATTTTGTCGAATATTACTTATTTGATAGTACGTTGGACGTAGCGCGCAAACGCTCTTATTAGGCGAAAAACGTTGACGTTGTCTCTCGTTTCTTCCATTTATCAAACAAAATTTGGCCCAAATAGGAATTCCACCTACCTTACCTATCAAGTTTAAATGTATGTTATGATACTATCTCAGCTCGAATTCAACATTTTCCTGTACTAATACGGTTCATTTTACTTGGGTCGAGCGGCAGGGCACTGGCCTTATCACAGAATCATTTTTTTTTACAAACGAAATTAAAGCCATTTGGAAAATGTATATCGTATAGCATACGTGTTTTATTTAATTCAGTGGATATAAAAAAAACATTGATATATGTAAAGTATCTATTGAATATAGCGGTTTTCTTTTAAAATTTCGAGATAAGTATGTGTTTTTTTTCTGTCGTGAATTTTTTTGGAACCGTGTTTTTACATTTACCATTTTAAAAAATAATAACATTTTAGCGCGCATTTTAAGAATAGGCTGGAAAGTTTCCAGTAACTAAAACAGACGTAAACATCATATCTAAAATCAATATAATGCCTTTAGAGATATTGCACGCGAAGGTAACAGCAATGAAAAGGTGAAATCCATAAAGAAATATTTCATATCATCACGCGACGCTCAGAAGGTTCTCAAGTTTAAGACAAAAATTTAAAAAAACTGTTTCTTCTTTGTACTATTATTTTCCTGTACGTCGGGCGAACCCTGGGCAATAATCGGTTAGTACCTTCGCTATGCATGCCATATGGCAAGCATTACAGTGTATGTCGTCGATACGACAAGAATGAAAATTTTTAAACGAGTCTTATTACTTCAAAGCTTTGTCATCAAGGTGTTAGTCGCATGTAAGTCAATTGCGGTAGTGGTAGTCAATAACCAACGATTATAAATTTGTTGTTCAAAATAGGAATTTGAAATATATGCCTTATGCATAACCTCACACGGTTCCTGCATAAATGATTTCGCGGTGGTTTGTTGTGTATAGTGTGTAACGTAGACTTAAGACCTATGTTCTGTCATATCTTGTGACTCGTTACCTGAACAATTGAAACCATCTCTCTCTGTGTGTGTGTACATAGTAGGGCTTTAATAACGCTTTAAGTCTATTAGAAGATTACTGATGATTATAATAAATTGCACATTTTCCTGAATTACTGAGACAGCTTGTTGATAGCATGACACTTCCATTATCAATATAGTTATTGGCGCTTTTATTTACCTTTTCCGTTAACAGCCAAATTAGTGGGAGCCTCGTCAATCTCATCGGATAGCTCTCCGTCGCTGTGGGGCTGCGCACGCGCCACCGACGCTACGCTGCGTCGCTCGTTGAACGATTGCGACCGCAGCGCCATCTTGCCACTCTCTCTGGAAGATGGAAGAGATTATTAGTGTTTACCTTTATTTTATTGCCAAATAGGGTATTGATTGAATTTCACTTTGTATTGCACTACATTTGTATGAAAACCATAATGTACACTCGTCACAGCAACTAATGTTTTGGCTCTTAAAGAGAATGTTCTGGGAATTTTCTAGAAACCTATAAGTTGATACGATAGAAACAATATTCAATGAAGAATTTGAAATATTCAAGAAATTAATTCACGATGTGGTTATAAGATCGAGAGAGTGCCGAAATGTGTTGATCATCTAGGGATTATTTTAGGCTTTTACATAAAATAAACTTACCTAGGCCTATAGTCAGGTAATCTAGCAGATCTTCGTTCCCGTCTCCATTTGCCAGTCAACTCCTTAGGCTGTGCTCGTGGTGCTTCGGGAGACAATGTGCGGTCGCCTTCCGATTCTCCACTCGATGCCGTACTAGGGCTTTCTGCAAAGAAGGAAGAAAAGTTAATAAAGTCACAGGATTTCAGAAAATAAAAGGAAACTATATTTAATTTAGTTACGTGAAAAGTGATCGTAATAAGGAGACAATGCTGCATATATCCTGTTTTATTCGATATTTAATTAACCAAGAACGGAAGAAACCTACAATTGCTGACAAGCTTGAATCTTTCTTTCTTTTTTCTTTAGTTTCTTCTACTGCCAATTCGCACATAGATGCTAAATATCAACAAGTGCTTTGATTGAGACGACTTAAATAAATGATCCGTATAGTATGCAGTAATATTGCCTACATAGTAGTAAACCTACATATTTATACATATACTTCTGTTATTTTAAGACCATGTGACAATGTAAGTAGTTATATCATCTCATCTATAGTAGCTCTTAGTGTACGGCGGCCCTAATTTGGGATTTAGGTACAACTCTGTACCTTGTCTCTTGCAATAAATATATTAATACTATTAGTGAGTAAGACACGAGATCGAACTGAGTATCTATAGATATATCGTGTTCTTAGGTTTCAAAATAAAAAGACCTATACGCGGTTTATCTACATATGTTTTTGAAAGGTCGAGACGAAGTCTTCTCAAAAGACAGGATTTTCTACAATAGTCAATGTTAGGAACAATAAAGCTACAATCTAGTAACTTTTAACATCAAGCCGTTTTTTTTCTTTTGCCAAACAACTTTGTCTGAAACTAGAAAATCCCAGTATTTTGGAGCATCAGAGCAACAAAATTAACTCCGGGGCATTACCCACAACATCCAGACCAGAACCAATTTAGAAAAATTTCGAAATTGTTCTTCCTGGTATCGTACCCAGGACCTCTTCATCTTGTATCCACATTGCTAACCGCAAGACCACCGAGGTCGTCAATTTATTAGTAACACTGAATATATACTATGATATTTCCATTTTATTGATGTTCTCATATAAGGGAAAATAATGCAAATAGGTTATTTTCGTTCTTGTAGGGAATTTAACTTCAATTTCCCATAATGTCTTTAGTGATTTCTTTTATACATAGTTATTATAAACTTTCTGCTTCATTTGGAATACCCAATTTCTCGCATCAACTCCCTTTAGTTGCTATCTAATTTTCTGAACGAAAATGATCAATTAAGGTTCTAACTTTGTGAACGAAAATGATTAATTGAGACAACAGTGATATTAATTGAGCTCGAGCGATCAAACAATTTAGAACATTTTACGTTGTTGTACGAAAATGTAAAAAAAATAACTGTGCCGAGAGAATATTTTAACAAGTACTACTTTTGCAAATTTCTTAAACAAAAATTTTTTAGGATCATAACTGTCCTTGTTATAGCTAACGCATTTGCAATTTGGTAACTTCCTAGATTTTGACAGCTTCTTTTTTCATGAAAAATATAAATTACACTGCTTTTGCTTAACAATAAAACTGAAACTAAATAAGACATAAATAACCGCTTTTAGGTGGTTGTAGATCGAGAAGAGAATCGCATATTGATCAATGTATAACATCATACCTTTCTGAGGCGATGACAACCATGGCTGCCACAACGGCACATTGAACTTAGGCGACTGCGGAGGCTCCATAGAACAGAGATGAAGGTTGCTCAACGAGTTGCGAGCCAAGAGAAACAGATAGTGCGGTAGTTCCATCATCAAGGCTCTTAGCCAACACTATTGGTATGCAAAATTTTACGTAGTCTGAAGACTAAGAAACATATTTCGAAAAAACTCATCAACAAATACCACTGCACTAGACCAACACCGTTAATAACAATTTAAACTTCTTATAATTTGAAATATATATTTCGAAAGACCAACACTAGTTATAAAAGTCCTCTCTGCACCACTTCACTATTGAAATTCTAAAATCGAAATTTTAAATCAAGAACACTTTTAAAGTCACTAGGGTGAAAAGAGTTCCTATAGGAAATCTAAAAGGATATCCCATTAGCGTCTCACCACAGGTAACACTGAAGGCCGACTGAATAAAAAATGAACTGGAAGAGATTACATTGGAATAAATAAATGAGATGAACAAAAAATAAAAACCCAAAAAGGAAAAAGAGCATCACGCTACATCCACGCGGCCGGACGTTGCGGCGCTTCCTTCGAAGCTTTATTTCACAGGATGATGTACAAATAACACATTAACTCTCACATTACACGGGACGTAACAGAATACAGAACGTTTAAAATCACTGCTATGATTTAACGAACAAAATAAAGACAATCAACCGCATAAGACAATGTCTTAATCACTCCGTTAAAAGAACAAAGATGTATCAAAGTGCAACGGAAGCATGAAGTCTATATCATTTGCAAGACAAAGAAAATTTGTTGACACCACGGATTTAAATGTCAATTTAAGTGTCACGCAAAGTTTTTGTATTATAGATTTTGTAACGAGTGTTGAACTGCACGCGGTTCGACAAACAATATATAATAAATTTATTAATTAAGAAATAATATTATTATATCCATATGAGATAACCGAACTGCCGAACGAATTTATTGATTAGATCTATCTTAATATGCTATTATAATATATAATTGATAATTTTAATGCTGCATATTATTCCGTCTAGACGTGAATGCATTGAGATTTCGATAAAACAAAATGTTGATTGGAAATTTCTACGCGTGCGAAAACAAAGATTTAAATGAACCTAATGATCATTATCAAGAAAAATCGCAAATATGTCGGTAGGAATTACGAATATTTCCGATATAGTTATCGGCATGCGTTTTAGGTACATTGCATACCTGCTATTAGGAACTGATAACATGAGTGAGTGTATTTTGCTGGATGATTAACTAGTGCATTACGTGGAAAACGGATGGACTTTTCGCCAAAAGTGATTTCTTTCAGGAAATCTTTTTTTTTATAATATCAAGTGACGGGACGAACATGTCGTGCGCCTGATGGTACGCTACACGCCTGTCCATAACAGTTGCAGTACCACTCAGAGCTTTAAATCGCAACGACCTGCGCCATTGCGCCCAACACCCTGAGACATAATTTGACAAGTCCCATGTGCCTGTAATTTCACCAGCACACTTCTTACACTTCAAAACCGGAACACAGTAATGCTTACATTACTGCTTGGCGGCAGAAATAGGTAAGGTGGCAGTACTTCCCTGGACGAACTCTTTCACAAGGCTCTACTGCTACTAAATCCAAAGGAAGATAAAAGTACACATCAATGTAGTAAACGACGTAGTCAACGAGAAGGATATTAAGCACAGATACTTCTAAACGTTATCATTTTTCCTTTGATTCTCCCGTTTAGAAATAGAGCAACCTTTATATGGGATACATCAACCTGTTCGGCCCATTCATGAAAGTGCGTGAGCGCAGGGCGCGGGGATTAATGAACGGCCCGCGCATCCAGTCTTCACCCCTACTACCTCTCAACGTATACATGTCCTAACAATATTCGCTTCTAACTCTAGCAACGTAAAGTATGAAGTAGTTTTAAATGTAAATGTACGTTAAGTTTTTACAAAACAGTGCTTTGTGAGTTTTAAAGTAAGGTTTAGTTTTATTTGCAAGGATGTGATAAGATTTAAAATTACGATGGTTGTATCCTTGGAAGGTTGTGTTTTATTTTGCGGGGGGGAAAGGAGAGGTGTGAGAGGGGATGGAAGAGGGGATATGGACCTGTGAGGAGCCGCGCACAAGGGCCGTGTAGGCATTAGCTTTTTTATTGTCTAATAGAGAAAAGGTAAAGGCCCGCCGACAACGACAGGTAACGTTTGGCGCCGCTTGCTTAATTAAGTCTGGGATTCGGCGAAGAAATGAGAAATTAATGAATAGATTATTGCAGTTATGTATGGGAAAGACGGTAAAGTCGTTAAAGCTGAGCAGTTATGAGGCAATTTAGCATGTAAGTAGGTTTTAGGTTTGATGATTAAGCATAAGGTTTCAAATTTAAACAGCATGTAACGTATCTTAAGCAAAACACAAAACTAATAACAGTTGCAGTATTATAACATTGATAACAAAAGCACGTTAGTTAAACTCGAATGTTACTATTATAAATGCAGGTATTTTAGTCAGAAGCCTGGTAAAAGTTTGACGTTTCTCGTTGGGGAAATTTAAGTTTGGTAAAGATGCAGTGCTCTTCACCAATGTTTATGAATTTATTGCCAATTATATAAGTATTGGCTTTTGTCTGGAACTTTAATAAAAATTTAATCTCAATTTTAATTTAAGAGAGATAAAGGAACATTAAACTCTTCAAGCCCTAAGCGCGGCCTCGCGCGTTCTAAAGGCAAAGCAGTTTCTGACCGAGTGGAGTATAATTAAACAGGTTGTTGCTTTATTTTCCGTTTATTCTTTTTTTCTCTTTGCTTTTGAGGTTCATTCAAGCGAAGCGCCACGGGCACCGTGTTGTATTCCGACCACTTGCTATCTTTGATTCGTAAATATATCAGACAGGAAACTGTAATGGATGCTTTATCAATATGAATAAAGTGTTCCTGTTTTTGTGTTGAATTCATTGAATATTTCTAAAAATGACTTAGAATTGCTTTTCAACTCACTGAATTCAATTAATATTTTCAATTCGTTCTTAGTTATGGATAAAACACTACAGACTGCATTACTGGCTGCAATAGTTAGTATACTTGTACGATCAGATGAACCGTTAAATTGTTGGTTTGCATACCATAAGTACAAAAAAGTATGACAATATTTTATTGAATAAGTTTAATGATGAGTTTTTCGAAAAAACTGCAATGTGTCTACGGATTAACCTAACCGGAATTGATAGTTGTAATATAGAACGAAAGGTATAGGAACTAGTAATGGACGGACAACGGCACATCTTACTACACATTTTTGTTCGAAAGTCGCCTCCAGTACAATGGAACATGATACGTCATGTATGTATGTGTAGCTTGATGTGCTGGCGTGTGTACCTTGACAGACGGTTATGTAGAGTATACAATATGCAAGCAAGTCAGGCTTTCAAATGCCACTTACG